TTTTTTTTTTGTGGTAATATATACCTTTCTGATTTTTAAACCATGAATTAATAAATATTCAAAATCTGCATATGTTTTCATTTTCTAATTTTAAATTAAAAATTAAACCATTCTTGTTAATATATACCACATATTACTCTCTGTTTTGTATTCTGTATTTTATAACTGGTTAAATTGAAATATAATGTGCTACTTGACAAATTAAATACAAGTTGATATAATTTTTCATCTTTATAATTTAACACATTTTTACTAACTTTAAAAAATACTTGTACATCTTTTAGTGTAGCTGTGACTTGACATAAATTTCCTTTCTGCTAGTAGTCCTGAATTTATGTCTATACAGCAGGTAACTACAAAGATTATTGCTTATAGAAATTTTACAAAACTCAATGGATGTGACCTAGGTATTCAGTGTTTCTTTTCCTGGACTATGCTTGTCAGAGGATTATCTTTTTGTTGGGAATATAAATAATTAATGATGATTACGTTTATGGATCCTTCGGTTCCTCTTTCACTTGAGTCTTTAATCATATCACCTTCATCGCACAGAGAATTTTTTTATACAAAAGGAGTGGGAGGATATGCTACATGCTACCTGCCAGGCACCTCGTAATTCGGTATGGCGATGATCCTTTCTTTTGGAGGTGGTCCAAACCTGATCCCAGGTAGGTCTTTCTCTCTCACACACACAACACAACGCACACACTCATACCCACACCTACAACTAAAAGAATCCAAGCAAATAGACACTTGATTGTTTGAGTCTCTTTCCCAGCCTAAAATAAATAAATTTGTGATCATAAGGATATTTCTAATTCATGCTTACAAACAGGTTCCCTGAGGTTGCAGAGCTACTTGGTGTTCGGTGGTTTGAAATCCATGGAAGGACTAATTCTCGCATGCTTTCTCCAAAAACACGTTATAAGGCTTACCTTGTGTTCAAGCGGGCGGACACAACTTATGGATTTGAAAATACACCTATAGAAGCTGCTGTTCTACTTGGAGGAGCTGAAGTTTCAAAACGAGTAGTGTACGTGCAGGCAGAAGGTGGAATTGTAGGAAATGGCGATCAGTACCCGAAAGAGAGGGGAGATAATTGGTTTGAGGTAGAATTGGGTGAAATTGAATTCACCAAAGAAAGAGGCGGAGATTTGGAAATACATCTTCTGAAGGACAGTTACAAGGAAAAGTGCGGTGTCATTATTCAAGGCATAGAGATCAGACCAAATTAGCAGGACATCACAAGACTCTCTTTCACCTTCTGTATTTTACGTGTGGGAGGAACATTTCTCCTTGTGTTAAATTATGGTCAGTTCTATCGTCGTCTAAGCGTGGTCTCTAAATCTTTATTTGAAGAATGAATGGCTAATTTGTGGAGTTGATTACTAAGTTTGAAGTGATTTAGCGTGTTTAATTGTCTGAGAAAAGAATGCTTTAAACTGGAATTTATGATTTTAATTCAGCTATATTTAGTGTTATTTTATGAAATATGAAGTTTGTATCAGTTTGGTCCATAATCTTAATTTTTTTTTTCCTCTGCAGTTAAGAAACTAAAGAAATCGCACAAACTAGGTTATTGTCGTTCATCATCTGTCACTTTGATGGGCAGAATTTCACACAAGCGCTTATCAATTGCTCAAAACCCTGGAAGATGTTTTACAAACTTCAGATATCTTAAGAGAAACAAATGAAAATAGTTACTGCCACAAACCAAATACGACTACTCTTCGTATGAACTTACAGACCTTTTTTCGGCCAACAAACATACTTGTACATAGCCAAAATAAAAGATCCATACAAAAGTCTTGGACAAAGGACACGAACCAGAAGGGGGGAAATAGCACTTGAACAAAGCAGGAATAAAAGCAAAAGACCAAGACACCCTGATGAAATCCTGCAAAAAGGAGGGAAGAGGATGGAGGAGCTCCTGCCAGAAGCTGTACATCCTCTTAATAATAGGCTTTGTTTGAAAAACATATCATCTACTTCACCTTTAGTCATCTAAAATACAGCACCATAGAGAGGAACTAAGGAGTTGAGACTAGCTAGTTGTGCAAAGCAACACAGCACCTCTGAGGAGAGACCTCATCCTAGTGAAACAGAGGAAAAAACCAAATTGAGCAGAGGTAGAAAGACCACAGTGGAGCAGTAGCATACAAGGAGTCCATTTCTGCTTATGACAAAGAGTGGAGGAAAAGAAAGGACACCAAATTATACGGTGACATGGAAAGATAAAGATCTTGCTGCCATGCACCCATACCTCTCCCAGCTGAGACACCCACTCCAAATTGCCCCTAAACAACTCCTTGCCACCATTAATCTCATGCCATCATCAAGTAGACAAGCAACCGTATAACAAATATTTTTCTTTACCAAAAAGAACAACCTGAATCACCAAAATCCTTTGCAAAATAGCCAATCTCATATTTTAAACTATCCTCCAGGAGTCCATAATCATCAATGTAGCCCTTCAGAACAATCTTCCCAATCTAGCTAGTCATAAGCATAAGAGCTACTGGGATTGAGAATCCAAAACAAGACATAGTTCTCCTACATACATCTGCCCCTAAAGGATCATACAAATTCATTTGCATCCATACTTTGTATATGAAGAAACAACATCCAAAATCGCAAAAACACATTTTCTCAATGAATAGAAATATTCCCAACAGCATCTTAGACAAAATACTAACAATTCTAACAGCATAACTTAAGGAAATTACACCAGGCTCATGAAATAATATCCTGATTGCTACTAATCCATGGTTAATTGATAAATGACTCTTCAGAAATGATTTCCCTCTATGAAATTGAAAACAAATAAACAT